TTTTACTCAAAATCTCGTTAAAATGCTAGACTGGTGAATACACTCAGAATTTCAGCAAAGAATATCTTCGCTTCTTCCCGCTTGAACCCTCAGTACGCGCTTCTTAAACTCGAATATAAATTCCTCAAGTATTTGAGAAGTTTCGAAATAAAAGTCATCGAAGTCGTAGACGTATCAGCATCCTCAGATTGTTCAATGACATAACTTAGATAATTAATGTGAATTAACTAATAATACAATGTTTATGTATTATTTCTTAAGATTAATTTGTTCAAGTAATTATAATAATTTATATTATATGTAAATTATGTAAAAATTATGTCTTTTCTAGATAATTAAATATATCGATAACCGTTTTGTTGTTGTCAAGATTTTACTAAAAAATATTTATAGTTATAATAAAGTTACTTTATATTTCTCCTTCCCTCTTTCTTTTTTTCACGTAATTTCATCAATTTATTGGCGTTTTAAAAATATCAAATTTAAACGATACTCGACATCCTTTTAAATTTCGATATATTTGCGGTTGTTGTTAATAATTACGTTTTTCTTTTTCCATGCAGACGTATTACAAAATGACTGGTCTCTAATCCGTGAATAAAAAATACGCCGAAAAATTAATCTTTTTTGTTTTTTATTTTACTTTTACACGCCACGTCTAACACACGCAATACTAAATCTTGATAAAATACAAGCAAAAGAATCTTATTGTTGCCCCACGTTTCCTAATTACGGATCAAATAGGAACTTGCTTGAAAACGTAGGAAAGTTTACTGGCACGTCACACTTTTTTTACGCTAGAAAACGAAGCTTATATATATGTGCATACAATAATACGTAACGAAGTATCGCAAGCGTATTTATAAATATGCATGGTATGACTTGCATTATATACACTTGCATTATATAATTGCTATGAACCGTGTTAGTCATTGTGCAAAGGTTTTTGAAAAACAAGTATTCTTGGTTCCATGCGTAGAAAGTAACAAAATTATCTCTGCGTACAACATGTGATATATAAACAAAAATAGAATAGAATCTCCGTTTTACTCTTTCTAAATTTTCATTTATCGTTCACTTCATTTAAATCATCGAATCATTGTTCGTTAATTGATCCGTTTTCCGTTTTCCTTTTTATGATTCAAGCAATATTAGTAACAAAAGACTAAACAATGGTCCAAGCTCATCAAAGACATTCCTTTTTTACCTATATATTATACTTGTATAAATTTAACAGTAGTATAGGCACATATATATTATCCGCATTTCTCTGCTTGATTCTTTTTCACTGTATAATAATAGCAAATCCCTAAATATGTTATAAAACTTTACCCTACGTATTTTTTACAAATATCTAATCACTTCAAAGTGTCTCGCGAATTCATCAGGTATTCAACGTATACCATTCGTCAGGATGATCGGACGCGAGCGTTCTCTCTTCACTTCTTTGTCCTATTTTCGACGTATATAGTTGAAGTCACTCCATTAAGTTTATCTTGGATTTGCTGAAGAATCTTGCCTTTTGTTTCGGGCAACACCGATACCGTGAAAAAGATACTAATGATGCAGAAAACTCCAAATATCCAGATCATGTACTTGAACGCTTCTTCAAGATTGATGGAGAACTTGGTCATGATAAAGCTCAAAACTTTGCTAAGGAAAACAGTCATAGTAGAAACTTTAGCCTTGATGTTCGAAACGAACATCTCACCCATCAATGCCCACGGAATCGGACCCCAGCCTACGCTGTACATGGCAATGTAGACGATAAGCGCGACCATCGGCAACCAGGATATCTGCTCTATCACGTCATCCGCATGCTGTACCTCCTTCAGATAGAAATACAAACCCAAAACACACTGCAAAATAAATTACACGACGATGCTCGCAAAGTCCGAGCTTCTATTTAATCAAATTCAAATAAAGAATCTGATAAAAGTAAAAATTTTTCTTAATAATATTAAGTAGTATCTGATCTAAAATTTAATAGCATTACGTGTTTATTAATTAAACGCGATTTTAAAGATAATCGCACAGCTTGAAATAAAATGTATCTTTATAATTTTTAATAATATTAATATAAATTCCTTAAAGTGTCTTTAAAAACCACAACGCATGTCCACTCTAACAAACTGCTCATGTTCATCATTTTCTGTCGCAAGGCGAAATTGTAACCCGTTCCGTGAAACAGCAAACAAACGCAACGAGAAACTACATTTTGCGTTTATCGCTTCATGAATATACTAATTTTGAATACACTTGTCATGCAAATTTCTGAATGTATCTGCTTTTTATCAAAAGAGCAGTACAAACTTTCTAAACGTTTCAATGTTCACGATATACGTGGGTAGTCTGAAAAATTTTGAGCCTCAAACAGTATTTTTTTCAGACTACCCTCGTATTTATAAATACTAGTTCATAATATAATCTTAATATTTTTCTGTAATATATACCTATATATTTTTCCTAAATTAAATACTATTAATTCTTGTACCTCTATTTGACGCAATTATTATTATTATTGACGCTATTATTATTAATTTCTGCTATTAATTATCTTTCTCAGTGAGCCAGTATAATTATTAAAAACAAAAGAAGACTTGCGGAGATTCTCTTCAATTAAAATTCTAATTTCGCATTCGTGGACCGTCGTCATTGCGTGGAACTATCACTACAGCGGTGAGACTATCTCACTATTTTCTCTTGATGTCGTTGCACGCGCGATAATACGTGATTGTCGAGTTACTCTGCTTCATTCTTCTCCGCAGTAAATAATATCAAATCTCTAGATATGTTATAAAACTTTATGCCACGTATTTTTTATAAATATACAATTTCTTTTTAAGTGTTTCGCAAATTCATCAGGTGTTTAGCGTACACCATTCGTCAGGATAATCGGACGCGAATGTTTCCTATTCACGTCTTCGTTCCTTTCTCGACATTTATAGTCACTCCATTGAGTTCGTCCTGGATTTGTTGAAGTGTCTTGCCTTTCGTTTCGGGCAAGAACAATACCGTGAAAAAGATACTAAGGAAGCAGAATCCTGCGAACATCCAAAAGGTCGCATACATGCCATGGAATGCCTTATCGAGATTGCTAGAGAACTTGGTGGTGACAAAGGCCAAGAACCAGCAGACGAAAACCGTTATACTGGAAGCATTAGCCTTTACGTTCGAGGCGAACATCTCGCCCGTCATTGCCCATGGAATTGCACCCCAGCCTACGCTGAATGTGATAATGAAGATGATGAGTGAGACCACCGGCAACCAGGATATCTGCTTTACCACGTCGTCCGCGTGCTGTACTTCCTTCAGGTAGAAATATAAGCCCAGGGCAAACTACAAAATAAATGCCTGCTTACACGACAAACTCGTAATAAACACTGTTAAATTCATAGGGTTAAATTGAACTCAATTTTGAGTAATTTTTAACTATTCCATAGGTCGCCACTGCTCCTACTCAATATGTAGTTAATTTAACTAAAACAATGTTAATTTGACTAAACCAATGGAGTTAAAATAATCCTATTTTGTTTCAAATTAATAAATTTTGACGCACATGGTAGTTAAAAATAACAAAATAAATATAACTCATGGTATTGGTTTAAATTTCATCCTCCAACCTTTAACAGCTTAGTGAAAGACTTTTGCACTTAAAATCAAAATTTGCATAACAAGAAATTCAGTGTATTCTCACAATTGTTAAAATCATTAAACTCCCAGAGTATACAAAGATATCTTCCAAAGTACCTAATAACAACAAAAAAAACACTTCGGGTTTCAAAAGATCCTAAACGAAAGAATTTTTTCAACTCGTTTCTGCGTGTGTTATCGTCGCGCGTCTGCCTACTGTCGCGCACAAATTATGTAATCGTTCACGGTCCGATGTATTCCATCGCATTCAATCGGAAAACGTAATAATGACCCGTACATATAATTATGCTCTACCTTCCTCGTCTCGCATTGCAATGTACATCCGCGTGATTCGCTGTTATTACATTTCCTACATCAGGCAGACATTATCGAAGACGAGGACTTTACCGTGTCGCGCGTTTATCTTTATCCGATTTACAGAGAAAATCGTGACTCGATCCTCTTTGTCAGGTAATTAAGTCGTTTGCGTCGAGAATGATTTCCTCGAAGGTGAGATAAGTGATAAAATAAGGAGTCATTAAATGCCGTAATTTGCGGCATTAGTAGCAAGTGTAATTATGAGTGCCGATCGTAAACGCACGACCAGAAAATGCATTTAACGATCAGCATGCTATCAGTGAATATGAGAATTAATCGGCACGCGAAAATTCACGCTAAATATGTACAAGTTATTGTCAAAAAAATATTTATAGAATATAACTAGTAGAGTCAGTATTAGATTAATATACATTACAAAATTTAATTCTTCTCTAATTTATCTCATTAACGCCACGATTACGATGCTTGCAAAATAAGCTTCTGTTTAATCAAATTTAAATAAAGAATCTAATAAAAATTACAATTTTTTATAGTAATATTAAATATCTGATTTAAAATTTAATTAAAATTTGATAATCAATTTGCTGTTTATCAAACAAAAAAATAGTACGAGAACATTACAAAAGCTTCAATGCAAGACATATTGAACACTAGTCATATAGATATTAATACGTTTCAAACTATCATGCTTTAAAACTAAGTGTACATTGTATAATTAGTATTAACTCTATTATCGGTTATGCAATGTTTTATAAATAATTGCAACTAGTTTCTTAGAAATATAAGGCTCGACATGATGGAACAAGCGTATACTTTCTATAGTAATATATTTCTAATATTTCTTTATATACGATATTCTCTCTTGTATATTTCTTCTAAATATCTAAATTGAATACTACCATGGCAGTTGTTGTGCCTATATTTAAAGTAAAACTTTAAATATAATTGATTTCTACTGATAATTATCTTTGTCAATGAGGCAATATGTACGCAGTATCAATAACAAAATAAGATATAATATAACGAGGTTCTCATAATTAAGTTAAATTACATCCCAGATTAAAATCAAATCAATTTATTCTTATTTTCATGAGTATAATTATTCTAATTCATTGTTGATCAATTTCAAATCTAAAAACAGAAGCAATTACTCACCAAACTGATTGTCTCTCCAATGCCGGAGAAAACGAGAAGTATCTTTCTACCTGACCTATCAACAACCACGGGTGTCACTATTGACGCTAACACCTGCACGACTCCAATGACAATCGGCGCTATCTCCATTGGGACGAGACCTCCAGCAGCTATAAAGATATTTTGCATGTAGTACTGCACCACGGTGATACCGGTAAATTGCTGGAAGGAAACCATGAGACATGTGTAGACCAACGCCTTGAAGTTCGCTTTCACTTTGAACAGTTCCGAGATACTGGCTTGATTCTTGAAAGCCTCGTCAAGTATCACCTGAAAAATCGAAAGCGAAACGAATTTATTAAGCAATAAATATAAAAATTGGAGTGCGTAACAATTTGCCTAAAATATTCTGAAATAAATAGGATAATAAAACGACCAAATTATTATTAAAAAATAAACTTTTAATTAACACTGAAGCAAATTTGCTGTCCATTTATAGTCGGGTCTTGTAATTCCTCAAAATTGTATTCAATGTTAATTTCTTTTGCAATAATATTTTATTTTGTGACTGTTCCAACGCTGAAGCAATAGCTATTTTTTCTCGTGTAATATATAGTTGCGTGCAACCTGCAGTTCTGCGAGACTTTGCACGTCAATTATAACTATCCCTCATTGTTGTTTAAGATCAACTAGGAACGGCCTTAGCCGCGACCTCGTTTGTCTAACGTGATCTGACGGACAATATGTACTCGGATGTGATTATCAACGATCGAGTACATGTTCGTAACAGTGCAGTCGCTCGAGATATCAACGATACTATAAACAGACACGTTGCAATTAGAAATTTATTAGAATAGTTTATATCGATCATATATTTTCCGGACAGAGTTTTTCAGAAAACTAAATATTCCAACAACTAGAATTTCTTAACAAAGATGACCCAAAGAGAGGGTCGAAACGTACGCGAGTCCTTATATATTTAATTGTAATGATAGAGATTGTGCAAGAACAAATGCGCTTGACTCTTATTGCCAAACTACAAAATATATTTATTCTTAACAAAGAATTTGTAGAAGTTCAACTAAGAGTTGAATTATGTTTCTTTACTACTAAAAATTTTAAAATTTTGGGATTTTTTTAGAGCAGAGGTTTTATAAGAAAAAAATATAGTTATTAATTATTACTTTATGCTGACTTACCTGTATTTCATCGGCCTCCTTCTCGACAGCTGCTTCAGGTTTACTTCGGAGCTTCGCTAGAGATGTGATTGCCTCATCTCTGTGGCCTTGACTGAGAAGGTAGTACGGAGATTCCGGCATCATTATGAAGCAGACGAAAAAGATCACCGGCAGGATGGCACATAGGATCCACAAGACCACGTAGCTAACGAATGGCCCAATAGAATAGGAATATAGGATACCGATCGATTCAAAGAGCGGGAGAAAAGAGCCTAACGCTCCCCTGATAGGCGTCTGAAAAGATATAACAATCGTTATATATCAACTGTTAGTTCGTTATTATATAACGAACAATATAATTATTTTAATATTTCTTAACAAACAAAGACTTGAAATAGTATCATTATTTATTCCAGTTATTTTCATGGATCCTACGAAACAAGATAAATCTTTCTTAAATCGTTTGAAAACCCAGCAAAAAATATTTATGAACAAATTGATTAGACGATACAATAATTTATATACATTAAATTAAGTACCAAATAAAGGACATATTTTACACAAAAAAAAAAACAAAAAAACACGATACCTTAAATACTATGCGTAAAAATGTTTGTACACTCATTCAAAATACCTCAGCGATTTCCCCACAATACATAGGAAGGATTGTAAACGTGATAGCTATATTCAATCCAAATATAAATCTAGCGACATAAAGCTGTG